CACCCTAATCTCTACCTCCCTAATCCGAGGCCGTCTCCTAGGCTCGCGGCGCATCCGCGGCTCTTCCCGCGGGGTTTGTCGTCGCACCCCTCGTCATCCAACCTCTCGTCGCTGGATGCGCTTCGCGAATGGTTTTCGTCAGCATTCGCGCGCCCCAGTGGCGGAACACCGTTGAGTTCGCCGACCGCTACCGGGACTGGGGATAGGGGAGGGGGTGGTGGCGGAGGGGGAGGGTTTGGCGGAAAAGTGTCGGCGCATGTCTGGTTACTCGTCCTGCTGCTTGCCGCAGTAGGGCTGGTGGTTGCCGTGATGGTGTGCGTGTGGCTGGTGGTGCTAGCGAAAAACGGCGACGGTGGTAACCCGGACGATTATCTCACCCCCCTCGGTCCGCATTCCTTGCGAATTAACGAGGTGCAAGTTGTGGGGAGTCGCAGCAGCTACCACGTGGCGCCCGAGCCGGAGGTGTTTCGGTGGCTGCGGAACAACGGAATGATGTCTTTCGCTCGCACGGCGAATTTCACGCACAAGCCGTTACAGGAGCAGCTCTCGGCGGGTTACCGTTATATACACCTCGATGTGAGTCCGTCCAGGTGGTAACATTTCAATGTGGTGAAGAAATGGTGACAGATTCACAAAAGGAAGCGGGAAATATATTCATCCACAAGTTCCTTCATTTGGGAAAAAATCATGAACTTCAGAAATGCTTAAACCCTCACTCCCTGCCTCGTACTCTCCCTGCCTCTTACTCTCCCTGCGACCTCCCAACTTTCTCCTCTTTCATCCCTGACCCCACCCTCTCCTTTCTCTATCCCAGCCGTTAATTTCCCCTCCTCCCCTCTCCCCCTCTCCCCCTCCCCTCCCTCCCACGCCCCCCCCTTCCTCTCTCCGCCTTTCTCCCGCCCTCTCCTCCCCCACTGGTTCAGGTGCTCTACGATCCTGAGGGGGGGCGCTACTCCTCCCCTAACGTGTACCAGCGCATAAACCGGGAGAACAACACTCAACTTAATCTCAACCAGCCCGGTTACAAGGTGTGTTGTGTGCGAGCCCGTGGGGAGGAAGGAGAGGTGGCCTGTGCCCAGAATGAGGTGGTCTGTGGGGACTGAACTGAATAAGGGTGGGGAAAGAAGAGCAGGGTGAGTGGCGGGTGCGTTGGTACGTGTATGTGCGTGCCTGTGCTCTCTACGTGCCCGCCTTGTTTGAGCATATGAAAGGTCGCGTGCGTGGGACCAGGACGGCTTTTGAGACGGCTCAAATGCCATGAAGGTTCACTTGCATGGAAACGCGACCACCACGCATGGAGAAAGGCTGAGGACTAGGGAGAGAAGAGAGCGTTGCTGCCAATGGATCACTTAGCTGCCAATTGTTAGGCATCATTACATTTACAATTGGCATCACAAGCTGCAGCGGACAGAATGATGCTCGCAGAGGCTTGGCTATGCTACAGAGAACTTAAGGAAATCACCAGAGAAGTCAGAAAGGCTCAGTTAACAACTCCACCTTCCCTCCTTCCTCTCCTCCCTCTTGAACTCCCTCCCCTCACTTAATCCCTGTCCGCAATTGCTCATCTCTTCCTACCCACCCACAACACCCCGCGCATCCCCTCCCCCCCTCCCCCCTCCCCTCCCCTCAGGTGATGCGCATGCAGGATGTGGATTTCCTCTCCACGTGCACCACGCCGCTTAACCCCCCCTCCCCACCAACTCCCCATTGTCTCCCCCCCCTTCGCTTGCCCCCACTAGGATGTGGATTTCCTCTCAACGTGCGCCACGCTGCTCAACAACCCCCCCAACAACCCCCCCAACAACCCCCCCACCAACCCCCCATTTCCTCTGCAGGTGATGCGCATGCAGGATGTGGATTTCCTCTCAACGTGCGCCACGCTGCGCGACTGCCTGGCGGCCGTGAAGGCCTTCTCGGACCAGCACCCGCGCCACCTGCCCATCACCGTCAACATTGACTTTGGCGACGGCTTCCCGCTGCTGCGCAAGATCACTAAGATGCTCACACCACCCCTGCCCGTCACGGAACAGGTGAGGGAAACAGAGTGCAGAAAATGTCTCTAGAAAGGCTGTGGGGGAAACATAGCGTTAGCTTCCCGCTGCTGCGCAAGATCACTAAATTGCTCACACACCGCCCCTGCCCGTCACAGAACAGGTGGGGTGGGGAACAAGTGCCGAGCACAAGAGGTGGGGAACATGTGGCGCAAACAGAGGGCAGAGATTGCCTCTAGAAGAGCTAATGTTCATAGTGATAGCTTCCCGCTGCTGCGCAAGATCACTAAATTGCTCACCGCCCCTGCCCGTCACAGAACAGGTGGGGCGGGGAACAGGTGCCGAGCACAAGAGGTGGGGAACAGGTGGGGAGCAGATGGTGAAAACGGACTGCGGAAAATGCCTTGAGAGAAGAGCTCACATTCATAGCACTGACTTTCACGATTGAGAGGGCTTTCTGCCACTGCTGCGTGCCTTTCATGGATGAGTCAACTCAGAAGTCAGTCGACTCATGGATGAGAGCGCTTTCTGCCACTGCTGCTGCGTAGGCTTGCCTTGCCCAAATGCTCACATCACATCCCCCCTGCCCTTCTCGCAACACGTGGGGAGCGCAGAGCAGAACAGGTGGTGGGGTGAATGTAATGGGTCACGGGCATTAAATAGAGGGGTGTGCCTACAGACAAGCACCTTCCTTCCCATTCCCATTGTCATCAAACGTTCGGACCCCCCCCCCCCCCCCTCTTCTTTCTTTTCTTCTTACTTCTACATAAGTGCACTATGTAAGGTGCTCGTTCCAGTGGTGCATTTCCATTCTCTTTCCATTTCTCTTCCATTCTCTTTCCATTTCTCTTCCATTCTCTTTCCATTTCTCTTCCATTCTCTTTCCATTTCTCTTCCATTCTCTTTCCATTTCTCTTCCATTCTCTTTCCATTTCTCTTCCATTCTCTTTCCATTTCTCTTCCATTCTCTTCCATTTCTCTTCCATTTCTCTTCCATTCTCTTTCCATTTCTCTTCCATTCTCTTTCCATTTCTCTTCCATTCTCTTTCCATTTCTCTTCCATGCACTCTTCCATTTCTCTTCCATGCACTCTTCCATTTCTCTTCCATGCACTCTTCCATTTCTCTTCCATGCACTCTTCCATTTCTCTTCCATGCACTCTTCCATTTCTCTTTCATTCTCTTTCCGTTTCTCTTCCGTTCTCTTTCCATTTCTCTTCCATGCACTCTTCCATTTCTCTTCCATGCACTCTTCCATTTCTCTTCCATGCACTCTTCCATTTCTCTTCCATGCACTCTTCCATTTCTCTTCCATGCACTCTTCCATTTCTCTTTCATTCTCTTTCCATTTCTCTTCCGTTCTCTTTCCATTTCTCTTCCATGCACTCTTCCATTTCTCTTCCATTTCTCTTCCATGCACTCATGCACTCTTCCATGCACTCTTCCATGCACTCATGCACTCTTCCATGCACTCTTCCATGTGCCAACTTTTGAGGCGCCTCAACAGTCTATTCCAAGTGCACTTCCATGCACTTTTCCAATTTCGCGCTCCCTAGACCTTCTCCCCTCTCCCCTTCCCACCTCCAACCCACCCACCACAGACAGAGCCTCCCGTCCGAACATCAAGTTGGAAGTCCTCTACGTCCCTTCCCTTCCCCTCCCTTCCTCCTCTCCGTTCTCCTGGACCTCGGTTTGTTCTTTCAATTGCCTAAATCACCTCCTTCTCCACCATCCAAATATGAGTTGCCCTTTTTTCCTTCTCCTTTTTTAAATTTTTCTTTTTCCCTCCAAAGCGTCTCCACCATCCCCCCTCCCCACTCTCCCCTGCCCCCTCCCCCCTCCCCCCTCCCCTCTTTCCTCTCCCCCTTCCCTCTCCCCTCTCACCTCTCCCCTCCCCTCCCCTCCCCTCCCCTCCCCTCCCCTCCCCTCCCCTCCCCTCCCCTCCCCACCACAGAGCCTCCTAGATCTTGAGCTGGAAATCCTCTCGGCCATCCCTTCTCCTTTGAACTCCCAGAGAATTAACTTCCCCCTCCCTACCCTCTCCCCCCTCCCCTCTTCCACACACCACAGAGCCTTCTAGACCTCGAGCTGGAGATCCTCTCGGTCATCCCGCGCTCTCAGATCATAACCCCCGACGAGGTCCGTGCGTCCCACGACACCCTCGCCTCCGCCATCGCCACGCGCACCGCCTGGCCCGCACTCTCCGCCTCTGCCGGCCGCTTCCTCTTCCTCCTCTCCGACTCCAAAGCCCTCCCGGTATACCGCCAAATGTCGCCGACCCTCGAGGGGCGCGTGCTGTTCACTGCGCAGACAGCCGCAGGGGAAGGAGACATCCATAACACTCCAGACCAAGCGGTTCTGATCGTGGAAACTCTCGACTCCCTCGCGGCGGATAAGGTTGCGTCGGGGCATCTCGTGGTGTGTCCTGTTGCGCCCATGCGGTCGGAACTAGCTGTGTTCATGTGGGACCAAGCGGTGAGGTCCGGGTGTCAGGTTATCACAGTGGCTGATCTGTGGAACGAGCAGACGGAGAAGCCCATCGGAACGGGGAGCGACGGCACGGAGGGTGGGCTCCCGCGGAGCAGGCGGGGCCAGGAAGTGCCACCGCCGTCGTCGTCTTCCTCCTCACCGGCAGCGTGGGAGTTTGCATCAGTGACGGGGGCGGATCAAGGATCGGATCCCACAAACACGGGATCACCTTCACAACCGGTGCCTTCATCATCATCCTCATCTGATTCGTCTTCTGATGGGTCTGCTGCAGGCCTGCCGGGCCCGGGAGGGGCTGGGTTAGGTGGTGTGGATAAGGAGTGGGAGGTGCAGGGGCTGCATGGGGGGCCGCTGTTGAAGCTGCCGCTGCTGGTGGATGGAGGGGAGGGCGTGCAGGCCAAGTGCCTGAAGCATCTTAACAAGGAAGAGTGCGAGAAGCAGCAGTGGGTGAAAATGACAGAGCCTGTTCCTGAAGAGGGGTAGGTGGATGGTTGCTTTAGGCATGTATGCGGGTATGAACTGGTCTGATTTCTTAGCAGGTACGGTAGTTTGGATGACTTGGACTCCAAAATTTGGATAGTGGGGGAAAGCTTTCTATGGTACCTGCTGGAAAGTTCTGGGTGTAGGAGCCTTATGGTTGTACAACCTTCTAGAACGCTCTTCCTTTTGAGAGCTTCTTAGTGCTGGTGGTAGGGTTATTGGCAAGGGAGGGGTAATGGCAAGGATCGCCATGGCTATATTTGCCCACATGCATCATTATGGCCTTCAATCTGATATGAGTAAGATTGCTGTGCTTTTTGCCTTCATAGCCTTCCTAAAACTTATCAATTTGACAATGCCATTTTACGCCAAGACCCCTATCTTGACATCTGATCGTGCCAGTGGTCTAGTGGTAGAATAGCACCCTGCCATGAGCCCGGTGCAGACCCGGGTTCGATTCCCGGCTGGCACAGCGTCCTTTTGGCTGTATAGCAGTTTTGCCCGTCAGCTGTCCGACAGGATGACCTTGATCTTTTCGTCCTTCAGACAGTTTGCTGGAAACCAAGGGACACTTCACTGATGGAAAACAACTTGGTGAACTCACCATGCAGTACTCAAATCAGAAGTGGTATCACGGCTCATGAGGAGATATTTGAAGTCTCAGAGAAGGGAGCGCCAGCCTCCACTGCCACGCAACGGCTCACACCACCAGTCAGCCACTTTTCGGAGAAGCTTGCTAATCTGAAACTCCAGTAGAGACGTGCCTGATTGTCACTTCGTTTGGCGCTCACGGCGCGGGCGACGCCGCTCCTCCGATGACCGAGTAATCTCGGTTGATCCTGTCCGTGTCAAGCAGTGCTTTCCAAATATGCTCGTGCAGTGTAAGCAGCCTTGTCATGCCCTGATGCCGTTATGTCACGAACGCATAACTTGTGGGAAGAATTAGAGAGGGAAACAAACTACTAGGCAAACCTGATGAACGGGCGTGTGATTCCGTGTTCTCAGTGGGATAGCGATTCCGAAACCGAGAAGGGACGACCTGGAATGTATGTGAGTCGTAACGTCAAACACTTTCAAAAGACTAGGAAAGAAAGGCCTTGTTCACGGCACACAGACACCAGCCCAGCCAGTTCACCACAAACGGATGGCGGTTGCTTGAGCCAGCAGCAGCTCAAATGTCACCACCGAGGTAAACCGCGGCGCCATGCAAATGGTTTGTGTGCATGGCAGCGGCGTTCGCCAGAGATGGCAATCAAGCAGGGCGAGCGAGGTTTCTTGGGATCTCCGCGACAAAAATGTCCAAAAAATTCTGGAATGGGTACAGCGTAATCAATTAGTGAGAAATCCAGCATATACAATTAGAACCCCTCTTTGCCATGATTTGAACGGCCACTTCAAATGACTGCATAAGGACCACCCTGATTTCAGCCCAAAACAGTTTGGAGTTAATCAAGCATGTAATACCTACAACAACCGCCCCATCAAGCAACCTGCAGACCCTTACAACCCCACTTACTGGGCCCTCATCAGAATATCCGAACATGAAGGGTGAACCAGGAACACACACCCCCTCTCGCTCAAGTCCCAGCACACTCCACAACCAAAATCCGCATCTGCACCTTTCCAACCCATCCTGTCTTTGCATCAAGGACCACTGCCACTGATGATAACACCTGCGAAGCACGTAAACAGATGCTGCCAGGATATGAGATCATGCATGAATCATATCCTCAGATAATAAGTCACTTCACATCTCTTAAAAGATTCCAACATGCCTCCAAAAGCTCCACCAGCCCCCACTCTCACTCCTCGTCCTGCTTCTCCTGCTCCCAGCCCCCCCTCAACCTCGTACCAAACCACTTGACCTCATTCCCCACTAATCCCCATCGCACACCCCATGCAGCCTTTCTCTCCCGCTCTTCTTCCCCTACCCTCCCCGCACCCCCCGATCGTTACTGACTTCCAAGTGGCAAATTCCAAGCTCCAACTCGTGCCTGCCAGTGCCTCTGCTCCGAGGTGACTTTCCAGTCGACTCAAAAGTCACCTAGTTCCAACACGTGCCTACCAGACCAGTGCCTCTGCTCCGGCCGAGCCAGGCACACCACAAAGTCAGGTGCCACCTCCTCAAAGCTGCTTCCTTCACGTTCTTAGACGCGCCTCAAAAGGCACATAGGCACTCTACGCCACAGAGAAGGGCTACCTCAAAAGCGCATACTGGTACTCCGGCCGCTCTGACACCGCCAACAGCACCTTTCCAGGCCCCCTCCTGCCTCCTCACTTCTTCCCCTTCTTCCCCTTCTTCCCCTTCTTCCCCTTCTTCACCTTTCTCCTTGCCCTTCTTCTCCCCCCCCTTCTTGCACCGTGCCTCGTCTACTTCCCCTTCTTCCCCCCCTTCTCCTTGCCCTTCTTCTCCTTCTCAACCGGAATCACACCGTACGACTGCAGTCGCGACACCGACAGTGCCTGCTTGCCGTCCTTCCCTTCCAGAAGCATCTTCTCATGCCTCTTCTGCTTCCTCTGCAGGTTCTTCTTCACAGCCTTGCTCAACTTCGGACCCGCATCCTCCCCTTCTGCTCCACCACCTGTCCCCTGTCCCTGACCACCGTTCGCCTTCTTGTCCTTCTTGTCCTTTTGCTGCTTCTCCTTGTTCTTCTCCTGCTGCCCATGTGCCTTTTCTGCTCCCCCCTCCCCCTGCTGCTGCTGCTCCTGCTGCTTCTTCCTTCTATTGCGCTTCCTTGCCTTCTTCCCTTCCTCCGCCCCCTCTCCCACTCCTTCCTCGTCCTCCTCCTTTCCATCAGCCTCAACCTCCTCTCCCTCCCCCTTCTTCTCCTTCCCTTCTTTCCCTCTCTTCCTCTTCCCCTTCCCATCCCCCCCATCCCTCGATCCCTCACTCTCCTTCACCTCCCCCTCCTCCGCCTCCTCATCCCTCCCACCCGCATCCAACTCCTCCCCACCCCTCTCCACCTCCTCCTTCTCCTCCTCTTCCAACCTGATAAACGGCTCCCTCCTGCCCTTCCCCTTCCCATCCTTCCCCTTCCCCTTCTTCCTCCCCTTGGCCTCCCTCTTCCTCCGCCCGTCCTCATCCTGCTGCGCTCTAAGCGCCGCACTTAGCACCTGCCGCCGCCGCCACTTAGGCACAACCCACTCCTCGGGCTGGTACGGAGCGAGCTTCTTAAGTGATACGATTTGGTTAAGATCCTTGTCTCTTAGCTGAAGGATTTGGTCAACTTTGAGGCCGTAGTTGTTGGGCTTGACCTGTTGGTACTTGAAGCGGGTTGGGAGGTCGCCTGGTGGGAACAAGAAGGGAGGAAGGAAGCAGGGACAGGAGATTGGAAAGCGGAAGACAAAGAGGAGACGATACAAATAAGGAAGGATAGGAACAGGAGAGGGAGGCATAGAGAAGATTGTGCTGTGAAAGCACAGGTCGACAAAGGATGTTGCAGGCGTCTACATTTAAGGCGCCTCAAAGAGAGGGACCAAAGGCGCGGATTGCATCACTGCGTGAACAAGCAATGCTACATTGTGTTCCGAAGATGACAAGTTTCAGGCGCTTAACCACACAGCCACTGCTCAGCTTTTGAGTGGCTCAGCTTTTCAGTCCGCTCAAAAGCAGGCTCATTCACACACCCACTGCTCACCACCAACCACCGCCACTCACCAATCTTGTGCTCATATTCCAGCTTGTCTATTTCTAAGGCGCCTCAAAAATACACTCACCAATCATGTCCTCTTAGTCCTGCTTGTAATACTACGTTCAAGAGGCCTCTGAACAAGCACCACCCACCACCTCCCATCACCACCTGCCACCGCTCACAACCACCCACCACCGCTCACCACCACCCACCACCACTCACCAATCATGTCCTCATAGTCCAGCTTGTAATACTCCTCCAGCTGCTTGTCAAACGCCACCTTCTCCCGCATCGACATCTGCTGCCGCTTCCTCCTCTTCCTCGCACTCCCCCCCTCCCCTTCCTCCTCCTCCTCCTCCTCCTCCCCCTCCTCCTCCTCATCCTCATTCTCCTCCATCTCCACATCTCCCTCCTCTTCATTCTCCTCCTCTTCTTCCTCGTCCTCCTCCTCCTCCTCCTCCTCCTCCTCCTCCTCGTCGCCTTTGTCCTTCTTTCCCAAGGCAGCAGAAGCGCTGGGGATGAGACCTTGCTTCATGAGCTTCTGGCGCACTGCACCGAACCCCTTGGAACCCACGTTCATCCACCCCTTGGGCAGCCCCAGCAGCTCGTCCTCTTTCTCAAAATCAGGCTTTCCCACCTCCTCCTCCTCCTCTTCTTCATCTTCTTCTTCCTCCTCCTCCTCTTCCTCTTCCTCCTCTTCTTCTTCCCCCTCCTTTTCTTCTTCTTCTTCCTCCTCCTCTTCCTCCTCTTCCTCCTCTTCCTCCTCTTCCTCCTCTTCCTCCTCTTCCTCTTCCTCCTCACTATCATCTTTAGCAGCAGCTGCCTCCTTCCCCTTCTTCACAGTTTGCTCATCCTCCTCTTCCTCTGCGTCCTCCTCTTCCTCTCCTTCTTCTTCCTCTTCCTCCTCTTCCTCCTCTTCCTCCTCTTCCTCTTCCTCTTCCCCCTCTTCCTTTTCTTCCTCTTCTTCCTCCTCACTATCATCGTTAACAGTCGCTCTGTTCTTTCCCTTCTTCCCCTTCTTTCTCTTCTTCCCCTCCTCCTCCTCCTCCTCCTCCTCCACCTCCTCCTCCTCCTCCTCCTCCTCCTCCTCCTCCTCCTCCTCCTCCTCCTCCTCCTCCTCCTCCTCCTCCTCCTCCTCCTCCTCCTCCTCCTCCTCCTCCTCACTATCATCCTTAGCACTCACTTCCTTCTTTCCCTTCTTCCCCTTCCTCCTCCTCCTCTTCCTCCTCCTCCTCCTCCTCCTCCCCTTCCTCCTCCTTCTTCGCTTCAGCCAACTCCCTATCCTCCTTCCCGTAATACTCCTCCCCAAAAGCCGCTCTCATCTTAGCATCAAACAGAACAGGATCAAATTCCTCCTCAAACGCAACAGATTCCAGCAACTCAACCATAGGCCCCACCTCCTCACTCTCCCACTCCTCCCCCTCCCACTCCTCCCCTCCCCACCCACCTCCTCCCTTCCCTTTCCGTCCTTTCCCACCCTTCCCTCCCTTCCCGCCGCCGTCCCCGTCCCCTCCGCCCAGCCCGGCAACGAGCTTAATCTTTTTCAGCTTCTCCAGGATGTCTTGCTTCTTGAGGTTCTTGAGTCGTCGCAGCTCCGCCTGCCTCTCTGCCTCCAGTGCTGCCTTCCGCTCCGCCCGTGCCTTCCTCGCAAGCTTCCTCGTTTCCATCTTACGCCGCACAGATCCCTCAATCTCCCTGCGGAATTGGAGTGGCGAGGGAGAGGGGGGAAGAGGGAGGGGGTGAAGGAGGGGGCAGGGCGGGGGAGCGTAGGCGAGAGGGTAAAGGGTTAGGGAGCTTCTTGAGCTTCTTGAGCTTCTTGAGCTTCTTGAGCTTCTTGAGCTTCTTGAGCTTCTTGAGCTTCTTGAGCTTCTTGAGCTTCTTGAGCTTCTTGACGTTCTTCAGCTTCTTGAGCTTCTTGAGCTTCTTGACGTTCTTCAGCCGTCGCGCTCCGCCTGCCACTCTGCCCACGCCTTCCTGGCCCGCTTCCCCCCTCGAGGAGACAGAAGAGGAAGGGTACGGCAGGGTAAAAGGTGAGAAGGGGAGGAGAGTGCAGAAAGGAGGCAACTAGCGCACGAAGCCTTCTGTTTCCGTCACGCCCCCCTGCCCTCCCGTCCCCTCCAATCATGTGCGCTTCATACCTGGGGTAGGAGGCAACTAACGCACGAAGCCTACGCCCCCCTGCCCTCCCGTCCCCTCCAATCATGTGCGCTTCATACCTGGGATAGGAGGCAACGAACGCGCCTCCTGGCTCCTCGTAGCGGAAGCTATAGTTTGAGTTTGAGGAGCTCCCGGCTCAAACTCCCGGCTCCTCGTAGCCGGTCCTCAAACTCGTAGCGGAAGCTTTAGAGCTCCTCAAACTCATCCTGCTCCCAAAAAACAGTGCCCAGTCGCGTCTCCGATCCTCGCCCTGCTGCGAGTTCCCATTCAAACCCGCGTTCCCGAACATTCCCTTCCCTTCCCTCCCATTACACCCCTTCTCACCTGGGGTAGGAAGCAACAAACGCGCCACCAGGCTCCTCGTAGCGGAAGTTAAAGAGCTCCTCGAACTCATCCTGCTCTTTAACCTCCTCACCCCGTCCCCACCCCTCCCCTCCTGTCTCGTGCCCTTCATTCATACCTGGGATAAGTAGCAACAAACGCGCCGCCAGGCTCCTCGTAGCGGAAGTTGAAGAGCTCCTCAAACTCATCCTGCTCTTTAATCTCCTCCTCGTCCTCCTCGTCCACCTCCGGCCCGCCCAGCAGCCCCTCGTACGCCGCGTCCTGCCGTGCGGTGAAGAGCGGTGAGGAAGAGTTGAGAAGAGTGTGATAGAGTGCGGAAGCGTTTAGTGGGGTTGGGACGGGGGCAAAGAAAAGGACTTTCCGGGTACGATACGGTGCATCAACAGTCCACCTCCACTCCATCCCCTCCCCATCACCCTTCCACCTAGAGACCCACCCATAATGGAAACCATACCTCATCGTCCTGAACCCATTCCCTCTCCAGCAAATAAGACTTGAGGAAACGGCCTGCCTCCTCTCAGCTCAAACATACCATAACCCACAGCCTCCCTAGCTGTCTTCATCTCACCTCATCGTCCCGCACCCATTTCCTCTCCAGCAGGTGCGACTTGAGGAACTGGTCCGCCTCCGTATCCTCTCTTCTCACTCCAAACATAGTATACACTTCCACCTCAACCTGTCCAGCTGTCGTCTCACCTCATCGTCCTGAACCCACTTCCTCTCAAGAAGGTACGACTTGAGGTACTGGTGCACCTCCTCTCACGCCATGCACCACCTCCAACCCCTCGCTTCTCCTCCCTCCCATTCCATCCTCTCCCACCCCCCCTCCCATCTCACCTCATCGTCCTGCACCCACTTCCTCTCAAGAAAGTACGACTTGAGGTACTGGTCCACCTCTGACAGCTGCTGATCTTCGTGACCGAAGTACTCCTCCAGCCGCCTCTGCACCTCGCCCTTCACCGCCGGGTCGCCCCACCCGCCCGCCTCCTCCTCCTCCTCCTCCCCTTCGTCCTCCTCTTCCTCCTCCGCATCCTCGCCTTGCGCCTTTTTCTCGGCCTTCTTGCTGCCCTTCTTCTTCTTCTTCTTGACTCGCAGAAGCTCGTCCTCCTCGCCCTCCTCAGCTGTGCCACGTGTCGCATTGGAGAAAAAAAAAAAAGCAAAACGAAACAACACCCAAAAAAAAAAAAAAAAAAAAAAAACCAACAATTTAAAAACCTCTCTCTCGACATCCCAACGAGTAAACCATCAGCATTCCAGAGAGCAGGCAATCGCGCCAGCGCAACAATCCTTGAACACACACGGCCGCCTCACAAGCAGATTGAGAAGCCTAGCCGCCATCCCATCCCGCCAGCCTACGCTAGCCTATTTGAGACCTCAGGGAGGGTCACCGCCGCGAGAGCTCCTGGTTGTTGGCGTCTTCGAAAATGCTCGGAACAATAACAGCTTACAACAGGTAAGGCAAGTAAGGAAGGACAAGCGACTGGGACTCGCCTCGCCTCGCCACCACTGGAACAAGACTCGATATGCAGTCGCCTCATCATTTTAGACAACTGGACTCGATTCGAACATGCGTTGGGAGATTGTCCAAAAGTGACTCGCAAATACCTACCTGGACAAGTTCCTTGAATCTGTTGGAGTTGGTTCGTCGAACCGCAGTGTACGCGAATTAACCACTAGAAATGCCCAACCTCCGCGGATAAACCCCTGGCTGATACACGTGGACTGGGTTGGCTAAGAAACTGTCAAATGCCATGCACAGCATCTAAAACCCTGAACCCTGCATGACATCCACTTGTCTATACGGCCCTTGTGCACGAGACTAGCTCACGCAAGGAAGGCCTCGCCTCGAAGAACTAGCAATGCAGGATGGAAATCAAGCCTGCTAGCACTAGCTACGCGCAATGGAAATGACTTGCGTTCGCCTCGCGCCCCACCCCCCACCCGTCGACCCATCCCCGCGCACCCACCCGCCTCCCATCCCCGCGCACCCACCCGCCTCCCATCGCCGCGCACCCACCCGCCTCCCATCGCCGCGCACCCACCAACCCCCCTTCCTCCCCGCGCGCACACCCACCTGCCTCCGCGCCGTCGAGGAACGCCTTCTTCAGCTCCAGGAGAGAATCGCGCGCACCCACCCAGCCCTTGAGGGGGCTACGCCTACCCAGCCCACTCTGTGCAACCAGCCGATCACCCACCCGACCACCCACCTGCCTCCGCGCCGTCGAGGAACGCCTTCTTCAGCTCCTCCTGCTCCGCGAAGTAGCCCTTCCGCGACGCCCGCTCCCCGCCGCTGTCCGCACCGCCCGCGCCGCGGCCATCCTCGTCGTCGCTTAGCCCGACGCCGTCGATCGCCTGCTGCGCCAGCACGTCCTTAAGATACACCGCCTTGGCTTTTTTCTTCTTCTTCTGCTTCTTCTCCTCCTCGTCCTCTTCCTTCTCCGCTTCCTCTTCCGCATCTTCCCCTTCCCCTTCCCCTTCCTCCTCCTCCTCGTCCTCCTCCTCATCCTCCGATTCGAAGAGGTGTTTACCAGGTTTAAAGATCTCCGGATCCTTATTCTTGATCCTCGTAAGAGCCTCTACGAATTTAACGTCCTGATCCAGGCGCAGCAGATGCTCGTCCCGCTCGTCCTCCTCCTCCTCGCTATCCTCCGCCTCTCCTTCTTCCGCCTCCGCCTCCGCCTCCGCCTCCGCCTCGCCCTCCCCCTCCCCTTCCCGCTGCGCCTCGTCATTGCGCCCAAACCGACGGTCTTGCCCCCAAGGTCCGCCAAAACCCCGTCCCCTTCCGCCCCACCGGCCGCCTCCCCTTCCGCCGTCGCCCCGACCCCTTCCGCCGAACCTTCCGCCAGCGCCGCGGCCTCTTCCGCGGAACCCCGCGCTTCGTTCCCCCGAGGGCAGGTAACCCGCCTTTACCTTCTCCTCCAATCTGTGCATCTCCTCGCGCCGCTTGTTGTACTCGAGGCGCTTCGCGTATTCCTCGTTCACGCGAAGCTCGAACTCTTCGCCAACGTAACCCTTCGCGACCGCCACTTCGTCTTCGTGATCGTCGTCGAGAAGCATCTTCTTCGGGGGCTCGGACTCCTCAGCCATGGCGGCTGCTGTGCGAGTTGAGCTCTCGCGAGACCCTGCGTGGGATTATTTATTGACAGACGAAACCCGCCCAATAAGTCTTGTGAACACTATAAGCAGTATAGAAACCTCCGTTTGTAATGCACGCGTCCTCGGCGCTAGTCGAACGAACATGTATTCCCCAGCAGCGCAACCCGCGAACGGCCAAACCCGCACAAGACGACGGGTATGGGCTGGACTGGGCGGGAATGGCTGAAAATGGATGCCCGATGGAGCGGAGGTCGAAGGATGGGCTTTTAGAGAACAGGGTTTTGGGGAGGTTGTGGAAAGGAGCTGCCGCAATCGCTCGCCGTGAAAACTAGCCGCAAACAGGGTTTAGGGCAGAGGATGGCTCGGCAAAAGCTGTCCATGTTCATTCTTATAAACCTCTATAATAAGGTGGGGAATCTGAGTGCAATTTGTCGCTTTATATACAGGTTAGTGCAAAAAAAAAACCAAAGCAAAATTTCAACAATTTATGTACAATAATGAATCTCAATGCATAGTTGCTTTCAACGCAGCTGCCAAAACGTCATGCCACAATTGATTCAAACATCCTCTCCATCACAAAAGCTGCAAAGGAAACAAGGTAGGAAGCAATCACAGTGGCGATAAGATACACTTCACACTTTTTTATACCATATTGATGCCAGAGACGGGAGGGGAGGCGACGGGGAGGGGAGGGGGGGTTGGGGGGGGGGATGGGGGGTGAAAGGAGGCGACGCAAAACAGAGGCAAAAAAATGGTAAGATAATTTATAAACAAAATACGGTACCTGGAGGCCACTGTTGGTAATGGTGAAGGGAAACGAGATTTGAGGCGCCATAGGTGCTTTCACAATATGCAAGACACGGTGGGAGCCTGCCGAGGATTTGAACCCAGACAGAGAAAATGTGACAGTAGATGATTAAAAGTGGCTTGGCTTGGCTTTGACGATGGCTTGATGCAGTGTTAATCATCTTCACACACCCCAGAAAAGCAGAGTCTAGCACCACCAGGTGCATGTATACATTCATTATGCATATGTATGAATGTGTACGGACATATGTATGCAGCGATGTATGTATGTATGTACCAGCAGCGTGAGTTACGGTGGAGAGCAGCAGGCTCACGTTGACACAGTGAGACCACTTGGCACCCAGCGCTGCTCTCCTGCCGTCCAACTCTGGATGGGGAGAGACGAGAGGATAAGGAAGGGGGGCGGGATGGGAAGACTTTTGCGGTGCCTCCAAAACAGCAGGCGCACATTCACACAAAGAGACCACTTGGCGCCCAGCGCTGCTCTACTGCCGTCCAACTCTGGGGAAGAAGAGACGAGAGGGTGCGGAAAGGAGGAGGCGATGAGAGACAGGTGGGGAGTGGAGTGGGGACATACCGGGAGAGGTGGAGTGTGGTCCAAAACAAAGTATTTTACTTCTTGTTCTGTGAGTTCTTTTTGTTTATATAAATCTGGATGATTACATATAAAAATGATAAGAAAAAACTCACCGTTTGGTGCAGGTAGGCCGGCAGAGTGAGAGGAAGAGGAGGAGGACGCTGCAGCAACGTGGTTCGTGACAAGCACAGGCAGACAGAAGCTCTCAGCCAGGTACCTTGGGAACAGAAGCGGGAACGGCGTAAAATGCAGGATTTGCGACTTTTGAGGCGCCCCAAGAGTTGGGAAATGGGGGAAGAGGGGGAACAAGGGTTTGTGACGAAAACAGGCAGACAGAAGGTCTCTGCCAGGTACCTTGGGAACACACGGGGGAACGGAGTAGCACGCAGGCGAAGGGGGGAGGCATAAAATGGAGAGCAAAAAGGGCGTACAATGAAGGAGGAGGGGAGTGCACGAGACAATGCAGCAGAAGAGCATGAGAGAAATGCAGCAGGGCGTTGGGTGGGGTGGACGACGAGGGAGAGGGAGGTTAGAGGGTAGGAGAGGAAGAGGAGCGTGTGGAAGCAAGCACGTTTTGAAGGGATGGCGTCTCACTTGAGCTTTGAGGCTTGATGGGAAAGCAGCTGCTGCCTTTGAATGAGATTGTCCGCCCCAAACTCACTGATTGAACAGTTGAAACCCCGCATACAGAAACACATACACGCACGAGTGCGCACAAACAAACGCATGCATATACAAGCATGCACACACACATGCACGCACAAGCATGTACACACGCACGCACGCACGCATGCACGCACAGAGACACAGCACATGTCACCTCACATGGTAACTTGAATCGCTAGCAAATGCAAATCACACCGATCCGCAAAAAACCTGCTAACAAGGACGTCAAACAAAAAAGTCCGAAGGCAGTCTCACATGCGCACGAGGGCAGCAATGCTGTCGATGATTATGAGCCGCGTGCTGTTGCCTGCCAGCGACGTGTGCAGATTGGCTATTCTGAGCAGGGGATATATGTGTGTGCGCATGGGGAAAGGGCAGGAGGCAGCAGGAAGAGAGCAGGGGAAAGGGGGCACGGGGCAGGGGGCACCAGGCACGGGGCAAGGGCCAAGGGGCAAGGGCCACGGGGGCAGAGGTCGTTGTAATAAATAAATCAATGAAAAATTTTACACAAAAAAAAAAAAAAAAAAAAAAAAAAAAAAAAAAAAAAACCTGCGTCAGCTGTTTTGGGGAGGGGGGCGGTAAGGGAGGAGCGCAGGTGGGGTTGGGGGGAACTGAGGCGGTTAAGCATCAGAACGTACATGCTGTCAAGACAGTAAGCTTTGTTCAATTCTAGTGCGTGATTGTGTGCGTGCGCATGTGTTTGAGTTTGTAGGTGAAAAAATAAGGGGGGAAAACATATACAAGGAAGTGAAGTGAGAGAGAGATAGCCATACATACCTATCCAAAAGTTCTGCTGAGGACACAGGTTGCACTAATAGGATGCATTTTGAGGCGCCTCAAAACAGTGAGGTGCATTTTGAGGCGCCTCGAGATAGCCATACATACCTATCCAAAAGTTCCGCTGAGGACACAGGTTGCACTAATAGGATGCGCGACAGGAGCTGGTGAAAGGGATGGAAGAGATTGGGAGAAGGAAATATACTGGCAGAGGCAGATAGAGAGGGACGAACAGACACGACGGGTGGCGGGGGAATAAGGAGAGGAGGAAACAGCGGCCTTGAATACTAAGAAAGAGGCGGAAAGGGAAGAGAAGGAAAGAGGAGAAGAGAAAACGAAAGGCACAGAAAGAGAGGAAAAAATCGAAGAGACGAGGCAAGGGCGTGATAGGAGAGCAGGAGAGGAGAGGAGAAGTCAGCAAAGCAGAGCGGAGGGAGGAAGTGACAGAAAGAGGGAACGAGTGTGCAAACGAGTGAGACGAGGGAACGA